TCTCTTTAAAATTATTTTTCGGTTTGGATAAAAATAAAAGTGGTGAAAGTTTATGACAAAACCACACTGAAATATTCTATTTATATGAATTAACTTGCTGTTAAGCGTATTTATCAGTATAGCCTACTTACTCAATAAAACAAAATAAGAGGAATCCTATAAACGACTTATATCTCGGTTGATGTTAGGCAGTGCTGGGAAAAGTTAAGCCGCCTTATTAGTATTACTTTATGTGTTTTTACTGATTTATAAACTTTTTATTTAGTGGTTGAATTCCTGACTTAGCACTAATTTCTCACCTGTAGTGCACTCCTGGGTTCACATGGCAGAGGTGTCTTTCGTCAGGACTGAATAGCTGTTCAGGTCTCCTTCATTTTTAATGGCTCTTTCAAATATTATCGGTTTGTAAGGATATCAGTCTTAAATCATCATTAAAGCGAATCCACAAAGTCCTTTATTCATAACCAGAAAGTAGAGGGAGAATATTACAGTTAAATTTTGTCACTTCAAGTACATTTACATATCTGAATGGTAGGATATATGTGATACAGTATTCAAGTCATTTTATTACATAACAATTTGCCATTTCACAGGTTAATAGCGCATTTGTATCGTTTTGTCGTAAGTATATATATTTGGTTAGTTTTTACCAAGATAGAATGGTTCCACAGACAAACACGTTGTAACAATTTAAATCTAAAAAATCTGCGTTGATTTCTCATGATAAGGCTAATAAGTTGACTGTTTTATACTAACTGATATAATGTGTGAAATCTTTTTTCTATGTTTCTGTTACGGGTTTTTGTAGTGTGAATTGGCACATTTCGCCTTAAAATAATCAGGATTGGTTACAAGATTTAGTCGTGAGTTGATATCGGTTAGAGAACCATTGGAAAACCTGGACAGCTGTTTTGGTACTCTTCAGCGAAACGCTCCCACTGGAGTTCAAATTCAGGACCTTCCGGTTACAAGGAGAGCTCATAGACCATTAAGTCACTGGTACCTAATCCAATGGCTCATGAGTTCTAGCTTCTGATAATTCACGATACATTTCGGGTCCCGGGTTCGAACCTCACTGGTGGGTGCTTACTCCGCTGAAGAGTCTCAGTGGTTTATTCAGAATTATTCTGTGAGAAAACAGATATAAGAAATAATTTATCATAGGTATAGTAATGGGATGACTGATTCTACGTTTGTCTCTTAAACTGCGCGTTACAACAAACTACATCACATTCATGAACATATCCAGCTGGGAGACAAACTTACTCATACAGTAAGCGTAGGAAACGAAATCTTTCTGCCAATGCAAGAAATAGGCGACCAAACAATTATCTGAAGTTATCAGGCTTCTAATGTGTTTAATTTATAACTATTTAAATTATTTAAAGGTCAAATGGTATCTGATGGAGAGCCAAGAAGTGAGAACAAGCATTTTATACACTTTTCCTCATAGTTTAAGCTTTTTTAGCAATACCCACCTATTTTCCTTCCTTAGAAGGTGTTTGGATGATGAAACCAACATACTACAGTTCAGACTTTTGTCAGGAATCAAAGCTCACAGAGTTTCCTACTTCTGCTGACTGCGCATCGCAATGAAACCCTATTTTCAGTCAATTTTTGGTTAACTTAATATTTGATCATCAACCTATTGCTGCATGCTGTGCGAAAACGGGTCACGTTTGGGTATTTCTGGTAAATGTTTAAGGTTTCCGGAATCAATCAATCTAAGCACTAGGATCGATTATTTCAAATGACACTAGACCACCGTAACTCCATCTCCCAGCATTTGGGAACCATGGATAATTGGTTGCGGTAAGACGAAAGTATAGCAACTCGAGTGGATGACCAACCAACAGCTAAAATATCCACAACACTGAATCATGCTTCTGATTTTGCTGATCTGCCGGACTGAATGTACACTTGTTCTATAGAAGGGTAATGAGGGCACTTTAAAAGCAGTATTCCAACGATAAAAATTTTACTGAATGACATGATTAACGATTACTTCGAAAAATTTCTGTAAGCAAAGTGGCGTGGACTAGAGCTAAGAACCCCGATGACTGACTGCAAGACATTTCTAGTACACATGGGAGATAGCCGTCGTGTATAATTTTATCTTACGTCATTTTTTTCCTACAAAGTTTGCCATCCAAATAACGCCTTGGTTGGTCAAGGTTACTTGCCTCAGACTCTATATTTCAACCAAGCCTTGATTTCTGATGTAGCAACTAAATAGTGACGCCTTGACAATGAAACAGATCCACGACTCAACTCCTTGAAGTACCTTAAGAGGTCTATAAGGACGAGTTCTTAACTAGTTAGATTCAGATTCTTAGTGACATGTAATCTTCAGTGGTTCAAAGCATGAATAAACAGAATTAGAAAATTTTCGATTCCTATTTGTTGAGATTGTTATTCCCAACTATAGTTTGAATGATTCTGTTGGACTGAAGTGTGCAGTCTTTGATGGTAGCAGATGCACTTTGACAATCCCTTTATTATCATCATCATCATTCCCTTGGATTCTCAAGGAAACACTGGGTTTCAGAAGAACATTCGGATTTGATCCCGTTCTCTGTATTCCTTTTTATCTTATTCCATGACTACCTATAAGCTCTCATCTTCTTCTGACACTGTCTTCTCTTTGTCGAACTCGGACTCACACACAACCCATCATTTCTCTCTCATGTTCCACTCGAAGACCTGATGTCTCCTAACGGTCTCGTCACTATGTGTCCTATCCATCTCAATTTTCTTCAACATATCTGTTGGGCAGTAGGCTCTTAGTTGCTTCGTTGACAGATTTTCCTCTTGCTAATCCTTTCTTGCTACGTGATGCTCAGTATGAAGTGCAGTGGGTGCCAGATGATGAACGTTTAAACCTTTAGGTTGGCATAACAGTGTTAGTCACTATCAACTGAACAACATCATTTCTCATTGTGCTATAAAGGTCATTAACAGATTTTAAAATTGGATGGAGAATTTCATCATGGGCTGGCATCAGTTAGAGAACCACTGGAAAACCTGGGAGTACTGGATAGCTGTTTCATCCTAGTTTGGGAATCATCGGAAGTACGCACCCACACACCAGGGTTCGAACGCAGGACCTTACGGTTACATGGCAAGCTCGTATACCATTCAGCCACTGGGACCCGATTCAATGGCCAGTCCATGAATTCTAACTTCTACCAATTCGTGATTTAGTGTGAACCCAACCAATGTCATCAATGGGACATCCATTCTCACACGTGATTGGATGGACTTCACTGGTCACGACTTTTCACTAGAACTCCAGGAAACTCTGTCCTGTAGCAAGTCACTAGCGGGCATCAGATTAATTTTCTATAGTTGGTTTGTAAGGGTTAGTTTTGTTTTTACGAGTTGATTAGCTACAGGACAGAGTTTCCTGGAGTTCTAGTGAAAAGTCGTGACCAGTGAAGTCCATCCAATCACGTGTGAGAATGGATGTCCCATTGATGACATTGGTTGGGTTCACACTAAATCACGAATTGGTAGAAGTTAGAATTCATGGACTGGCCATTGAATCGGGTCCCAGTGGCTGAATGGTATACGAGCTTGCCATGTAACCGTAAGGTCCTGGGTTCGAACCCTGGTGTGTGGGTGCGTACTTCCGATGATTCCCAAACTAGGATGAAACAGCTATCCAGTACTCCCAGGTTTTCCAGTGGTTCTCTAACTGATATCAATCCGTGATCAACTCGTAAAAACAAAACTAACTATAGAAAAGATAAAATACTCTTCATTTAAAAATCCACCTGATAATAAATTTAAACAGTATCATTAACAGTTTGCTTAGTGTCATACATTTCGCATGACATATAGATGGATGTCTGCAACAAACGCATATGTGTGTGCAAAGGTTATTTGTCCTTTTTCATTTATGTGTATACGAGTTTTGTCTGTGTAAGCGCACACAAAAACACCCTACTAACCGCGTGCATATGGATGTGGGCGTGTGTGTATGTATGTGTGCCAAACATAGAGATGTTGTAATATGTATGTGTATATGGGATTTTCCTCATGATCATATTTAAAACAAAAATTATTCTTGACTAATTGGTTTATCAATGAGACAAAAAGCGAAAAAAAAAAACAGCAACACCAACAAACGTTGAACCGAAATCAGGATTGGTCAGTTGAAATAATTTTTCCGCTGTCGTTGTTGTTGTTGTTGATGTTGTGGCGAGAACTCGAATTCATAGTAGTGTTTAGTGCACACAGACTATTTACACACACACATAACTGTATTTACATAAGGTGGTAAATGTGTGCACCGTGTCTAAACTACTGGTTCATTCATTCACCGACAATAAAAATGCACGTTGTAAAGAATAAATAAAGTTGTGGTTGTAAACATTTTCAAAGGATACAAAATTCTGGATAGTTTTTTCTTCTTTCAACGAACAGCAAAAGGCAAAAAAGGGCACGAACAGGAGATTTTTCGACTTCTTCTCCTTCTATATTACACATACATGCACATGTCTAGAAAAACGTGTCGTATCACAAGTTTTACTGATGATAATAACTAGAGTAATGAAGACGATTTTTGGAAGACATATAACTGAAATGAAATTAATTTAAGACTTTTCAAAAGGAAGACGGAAAAGTAAGTTGAAATGAAAACTAAAATAATAATTTTACATCATTAAAAAAAAGAAAAGTTCGAAGTTAGTCACACCTACACAACACGCATTTGCACACGTTTGGAGAAAGAAAGAGAGAGGGTACTTCAAGAAACAATGACTGTTCCCTCTGAACAATGCATTCATCACTTCAGACAATAAATATAATTACTCACTAATTCACAAATCAGTAAAGCTGATCATTGTATAGTTGATTACATCCAGTTCACTTGTTCTTCCATTTTTTCCAAAAATTTTTCATCTACTACTACTTAAAATAACTGCTATACATACTACTGATTTCGAAGAGAAGTAGACAAATTAATTATTCTATCCAAGATAAGAACAATAGTAATCATGAAAATTAACTGTTCAAAGCACTTTTTGTATCTTTCAACTATCAGTTTATTTATTTGCTTTACAAGTGAAATTGTACACGACAGCTCAGTTAATATTTCAAGAGAAACGAGGGTAAGTTTGAAGGGATTTTTTTAATTAAATTATTATTATTACCATAACTTCTTATTCCACATGCTTAAAGTTGTGATTTCTAATCGATATTTTTATTGTAATGATACTAATCACTACTGGCAACCAGATATCTGGCGCTATTTTCGAAGAAAATATTATTCCGTTTATCCCAGCGTTAGATAATCAATCAAAGTTTTAGACGCTGAAGATATGTCAATTCCTCGCTCCGCTCATCTGTGTTTCATTAGGTCTGTCTGATTATTTAAAATGAAACTCATTTGACTAACGGAAAAATATTATAACTGTTGGATTTTCTTTTAATTGTAACTAACATAATTTGTAAAGTATAATCATAGCTAATGCAGCATAGTGATGCACAGTTAATACATCAAAAGGGATATATCATTTCTTAGTAATGCAGAAATATTATTATCAACATTGATTAGAAACAAAACATACTACGAGTTGTTTCACTTTAGGTACTTCATGAACATACAAGCGAAATAAAAATCAAAACTTAACACTATGTTAAAGTTAGGCATAATGTATCTTTTCGTACTATTCCTTTACGTTCCCAGTGGAGCATAGGGCTTCAAGCTACAACACTTTGAAGTTTCGGTAACAGTGGTGTTTATTTTTACAGAATAGGGTTGTTAGTCTCATGCCCAACCTTCCCTCTCTACCAGTCTTATTACTGACTTAGCGAGGTTCGGGAATGCGTCATCTGGAGATCAAACCCCGGACCACATCCATGGTTGGCGAGCATTCTGCCACCGACGCGGATGTAAACATTTGAATAATCATAAACGGAGAAGATTCCTTCATTGCACACAAAATAATATAGAAAACGTTGAGTTAATTTATGAAAATTTCTTATTTGTAGTGAATTAATAACGTATAAATTCTACCAAAGGAACCTGTTTCCCTAATTTCTCATCAATGTAGGATATCAACATTGTACATATAAACCACCTAAATAAATGTACGATTGTTTATGAGGAGTTGCGAATACAGACCCCTCTCTATGTTGACATATGCACTTAAACATGAACTTTAACTCATTCTAAAACTATCCACTTATCTAGGTCCAGGTAGATTGCTGAAGCACTAAATAGCTATTAATTGTTCAAATTTGCAATCATTATCAGTCTTTGAATAAAACGAGGACAACAGTGGTTTGTGCAGAATAATATGGTACCATCATTTATTTCGTTGGCTTTTCATCATCTGCTTACAGCTTGTAAATTTTTCATGATATCAGTTGACAGAAAGTTCCGGAATTTGTGAAAAGTACTCAGAAAATTGCGCTTATATAGTTTTTACACAGGCAGTTCAAGTTTAAAGGAGTTACTTAATAAAGACGAGAAATGCGTAGGATGATGAGTGACTAATAAATTAATTAACAATGTACTGAGGTCAAATCAAATCACAGAAACAAGAGACAAGTAAAATTACACTTTATCAAAGCGGGATGAGGTTAAAGCTAAAGGTTATGTAATCAAATGAAAGAGAGAATAACGACATCCAGTTATTAGTCTATATACTTCCAACATGCACACTAACTGGGATTTTATTGTTCAAGTAACATACGCCTTACTCGGTGACAACTTATTATCCTGTTCCAAGCATGTCTGTTTGTGAAAATTCTTTTTTATAACAGTTATATATTCTGTCAAGAATGAACTGACTTCAACAATCCATATGAAATCATTAAATGGTACTAGTATACCTGATATAATTTATAACATTCTTATCCATTAGTTGAGGTTAATTGTCGAAAGTCAAATTTGATGTTTTTTTCTACCTCGCATCCTTCATTCTCTCGTTTTCCTCACTCGTGATAGAAAAAATTGACCGTAAGTGTTTTTATATCATTATGACCAAATATTTCAGTAGGTTTACTGACTGTAACGTTTTACTTTAACTACTTTGTAATTAAAATTTTTAAAATAGACATGGCTAACAAATTTTAACAGTCACATGAAAAGTGGTCAGTATTTTAAGAATATCTGAGTCATTCAGTAATTTTACTAGCTCTAAATTATTTGTTAATTTTCACTTAGAATTAATGTCTCAGTTTATTCAGAGCTATTTTTACCTGTAGTAGGATTTTCAATGTTACAGGCCTGGGAAAATGTTTCCGCCTTATCATTAACGCATACATAATTCACCAAGGTAGACAGTGGTGAATTCCTGTTTAGTGATATATAAGCTTAAATGTATCAATATACGTTTGCCTGGTAGTTTCTCTCAGAGGTGAGAATGTTGATATTACAGTATGGAGTGGAACATTTATAACAACAGTGATTTGCTTTATTCCAAGACAGTAATTATTATACATTGTGGAATTCTCAGCATTCGGTACAATATTGCGTCTAATTTACTCGACAACAACAAAAGTAAAACAAAAAAAAACAATATTACGCGGTATGGGTAATCAGGATTGATAATTAGCCGTATTTTGGTTTTAACAGTGACAGTAAAATAAAAAATGTACAAAAGTGTAAAATAATGAAAGTAATTCTGATAGCTAAAATTATAAGATAGATACCTGAAATTGTGTCACCATAAATTACAAATAGGAGAAGATAAAAGAGTTTAACGCTTACCACCATCTGTATCATTCAGGCCCAGTGCGATGTCATTGAGTTTTGTACATGGTTGTCCGAGCATATAATCTTTTGTGATGCCTTCTAGTCTAACATGATGAGATGTAAGGGGAGAGCTGAAAATAGAGAGGGATGTTGAAAGTCAGGCGGTAGGAATTTAGCCCATTTTTCACATGAGGTTAGAGGTCTGTCGACTACAGTAGTAACAGGCATACTTAATGGGACACCATTTGCCCTACTGATAACTTTCAATACCCTTCGTAATATGACATAGTCCTATTTCAGCAGCCCAGGAAAGACTAAGGATGGATGCGACAAAGAACAATATAAAAAATACTACTGTTAACAAATTGTAGAGGTTGACCGATTCCTGATTGTCTTAACTTCTTAATGTAGTAGGTTAGACCGAACATTTTCTTAGAAATCGGTAAGATATCTGATGACCATGAAAGTTAGGAGGATAGAACTCTTTCAAGATATTTTATGCTTGGCTTAGTTTTTATTTCAGTGCCCTCTATGCAACAAGTATCTTCTGAACGAACAAGTTTGTATAGATTACATTTATAGCTATAGGTGAAGTTAACTGTCTGACACTTAGAGAGAGCTTGAATCACACTACCTTGTGTCCGAAAAAAAGCTATTAAGTTTAAAACAGTCAGATCAGAACATAACTGGCAACGAGATCACCAGCGTACTTAACAAAGTTGATCTCTTGAAAAGACGTAAATCATACAAGATGAGAGAAAAAAGATTAGTGAGAAGAAAATCTTGAGGGACTCGGGCTTCAGTGAGCAAGGCAGAGGAGGTTTTGTCTTTTTACACAGTATACTATATTTTTTTTCGAGAAATAAGAATTCAATCAGTTAACAGCCCAGGATTCGGTTTGTATCAGGGAAAGCTTATTTAATAAAAGATGTCTGGGTATGAAGTCAAAAGCCGATGCATGGTGAAGGAAGGTACACCGGACATATTTAGCTCCTTTGTCAGAGTAGGATACAATACTGTGACGTAAGACAGCAGCTGCTTCTAAAGTGCTTCTAACCTGTTTACGTGCAAACTGTTTCGGGCTATTACAACATTTCAAGAAAGGTTCAAGATTGAGTTATTTAGTAGATGGTGTTGATCCACTCTGGTGGCTGATAAGGGCACAGGCCACAAATAGACTTTGACCATTCATCTCCGTTCTACGCCCATCTCATCAAATACTTGTATATGAGTTCATTTTCTTTGCATACTTAAGTACTTAGTTTTGCGTTCCTTGGTTACCTGCATTTTCTCTCTGAGATTTGTAATTGCACCATGAAGTTTCTACTAATCCATAAATAGTCTTGTAATTTTGGCACCATCAGAAATTCGGTTATTCTTCTATCAAAACTCGCTAATGCCTATGAAGACAAGCAGGTTTGTTTTAAAGAACTTTCGGAAGCATATAAACATGACAGCCTTGTTGTCTGATGGATTTGTCTTGCATAGATGAATGGTTTTCTTTAATGGGCCTAAATTCATTGTTTTTCGAAAATATCATGGGAACAGAAATGCCTGCAGACTACAAATGAGCTTGCTACTTGTTTTATTGATCTACTATTTAGAGCCTCTGTCACTTTCTTCGTTTACAAACTAAAAGCACTTCTAGTTGACTGCATAGTTAGCGTTTGTTTGATTGCACGTATTAACAGTAGCTAAATGCGAAATAATACACCTTGAATACGAATTAATCTTTCTTAGAACCTATTCATATTATCATTGAGTTTGCTAACCACACACCCAACAGTTCCTCTCTTGTTAACTTGCTACAGATTCGACGAGGTTTAGGTATACGTTGGCCGGGAATCGAACTCCGGATCACGTGAGTAACAGAGGGTGGGGAATCCTACTCCTGAATCACCGACGATTTCAGTTCATTTTATTACCCTTCGTGGTTCAAGTAAGGGAGAATATAAGTAAATGTATCACTTATCACAGCACATGTCATTTCTAATCTAGACGACCAATGAAGTATTATTTTTTTGCTTGTGGAACCGAATAAATTACATAAACACACTTCTTAAGTAATTTTTCCAACGAATTCAAATATACTTGTTGTACTAACCAAACAAAAAAGTGTCTTATATTTTAAAAACATTTGAAGTCATAACAGTGAACATATAATGCAGTATTCATGTCCCTAAGTTTCCATAAAGCACATATATATATATATATATGTCATCTAAATGAAAATAAATCGAAATAAACTTCTGAAATACACAAAATATGAAATTTATTACATCACAAATCATTGCTGTCATTTCCATAAAACACTTCAGCACTTATTTCATTACCAGATATTCTTGCTGGTGTCTGATATTCTCATCAATGTGATGTTTTTTTCATTCACATCATGACTGAAACTAA